AGAAACTGAGGAGCGTCTTGAGCCTTACTTGGGCTACACTCCTTTGCACTCCTCCACTTGGACTTCTCTCCACCCTTTTCCGAGGGCCCTTTGGACTTCAGCTGCTTAAGTGTGGTTGGGTTGTTGGGGTTTGGTGGTGTTTTGGCGAACGCCAAAAGGGGGAGCGCAGATGTGTATGTCCCTGCCCCTGCTGCAAGGATGACACGCTTGACTCCGCAGGTGCATGGCCCCTGCAGCAAGGAAGACAGTCAGGCACGTACAGAAGACGTTTTTTAAATCGAGAAGTGTACCAAGTTAGATCTTATTCGCTTTCGCTTCTGCTGCTAAAACAGTTGGCTGGCCCTCGTACTCGAGCAGGCCTTACTGTCTGCACCAATTGTTCTGATTCCAAAGATTACGATATCAGGTCGGGGTGCAGCGTTCTGTTCAGGGTAGTGTTGTGGTTCGGACTTAAAGTGTAGGGATATAGAGTTTAGGCTTTAGAGTTTAGGGGTTTAGACTTACGGTTGGGCTTGGCGTATAGGGTCTACGGGTTGAGGTTTATCGCTTGGAGTCTTGTTTGTTCGCTTCAGGGCCTTGCAATCTCCAGCAAAACGGCTCTCAGCACAATGCGGGGCTTGGTTTCTTTGGAACGACGAAACCCGACCACCAACTGAGAAGCTCTCGCACTGAAATCGTTGTGCATCAGCACAATTGCTCCTCATGTAGAGGACTGAATAATCAACGAGAATATCCCCTCCTCGCAGTCCCTATATTCCAACCTGTGCCGCGACCTTATTCGAATCATTATCTTCGTTATGATCAGTGCCAAGCCCCCTCAGTTCCATTTTCGGAGTTTGGATTGCCGGGCTGTGCCGGCACTGTCACTTGTGATTGCCGTGCCGGCTTAGAATTCTGGGTTTGAGGATGTTGAGTTTTGGGTTTAGGGTTTAGGGGTTCAGAGTTTTGGGTTTGGGGTTTGGCTGTCTTTTCAAAAAACCTGCTCTGCCGAGAAGCCCTCACTGAGTCTAAGCACCCAACCCGTAAACCCAAGTCTTAACCCCAGCAACTTCCCTGACGAATTGCAGACGGCGCAAGGCACCTAGAACCTGCACCTCTCAACCAAACCTAAAGGTGCCCGCCTGAAGATAGCACACAGATCAGAATTTGAGGGTGAAAGTCAGACCCTGTCACAATTACACAAACCCTCCTCCATGGCATGGCTCGAACATCATTCCAGGGTTTGGGTTTTTCGGGCCATGTTATCAGTTGCACGTTATCAGTTGCACAGAGTAGCTTTCTCGTTCAGGGCCTAGAGTATCCACTACGTACAGATTATACACAATGACACGATAGAGGCTGAAGTGATGCTAACATAGCAGCCCAGATCAAGGAACGGCAGCAAGACAATGTCAATTTACAGCGCAGACGAGCACTTCGTGCACCTGTAGCCTCTTTGTAGCACCTAAACCCCGAATCCTACACCCTGAGCATGAATTGCTAGACCCTCATCCCCGAACCCTACACGCGCTACACGTCTCCACCGCTGCGATATTGAGCTTATTCAGTGTAGGTCCAGCCCCTGCAACCTCCCTCAAGGATCTAATTGGGGCGTAAAGTTGAGGATTTTAGATGTAGGGTTTAAGCTTTAGGGCCTTTAGTGTTTAGGGTGTAGGAGCACAACATGCTACTGTATCGCTTATCTCCTCATGCTCAATCTCTGTGTAGACTCATTTCTGGGGCTGTGGGGCCGAGGTTATGGGTGTTAAGTCTCGGGCCATGAGATGTTAGGGCTAAGGCTTTGCTTGGACCATACTCCGTGGGACTGGGCTTCAGGTGCTATTCTGAAACTCATGAGCAGAGCATGGGTTTAAGTCACTGTAATCTAGAAGCCCGAATAGTGGGAATATTCCCGAAGGCTGCAACAATAGTCGAACCCCAGAGCCTCTTGGGGAACCTTTCAGACGCCTAGAGTATGATAGGGGCCGGGATGTACATCGGGAAATTCTCAAGTCGCAACGGTTTAGCCGGAAGGTCCCAGAGAGGAGGAGTGCCTAACGACCACTTTAACCTACCATCGTATCACTTCTGTCTTGTGGTGTGGATGGAATAGAGCAGGTGATTGAAGCTTACGGAATCGTATGAACAGCCTGGTTCATTGCAACCTACTAACGATATGGAGCCCTGGAAAGTGAATCCTCGGCGAAAAGGCTTGGGAGTCATGATGTTGGCTTCTTTATCCGGGTTCATATCCCTTAAAGCTCACTATGCCTAAGGAGCCAAAAGGAAGGATTCCGGATCGAGACCCCAGAACAAGAGGAACACACGCAAAGGCATACCTTGCATCCGTAGCCTGACCCCTTCTGATACTATAGTATGTTGTACTACAGTCTATTATACTATAATATACTTCATTTTATTAGATTATACTATACTATAGTATACTTTACTATATTAAATTACTGTTCTACTATATTGTATTGTATTATGTATCTCGGCCTTAGAGCCTTGTAGCCCGGAAAGATACGGCGGCACCCCAAGCTCGAAACTCCTGAGCTCGATCCGATCCGGTGGGAATGCCCATGTTCTCCCCTCGGTTCCCAGGCATCCAGGGTGGTCTCTCTGATCGCAAACTAGGCCGCTGTGGCAGAAATGGCGCCGACTTTCGCAGGTGTGAGCGATGTTAGCCTTTCATTGGGGTCAAGGGCTTGAAGTCGTGGGCGACACCCTAAACCCTGAAAGCATGTCGGAGGTATGGGTGTTCCTTGTCTTCGGCTTGAGTCGTCGGAGCTTATCTACGAGCCTGCTGCTTCCTTGTATACGGATCTGCAACAAATACATGGTTTGCGTATCTTCTGGCGGAAATGGAGCTATGATTCCGCATGCCCCGCCCAGCCGACAAAGCGAACACAATTTGCCTCAGCCTGCAAACTGGACTGTTTGGGTCAGGCGGCTGGGGCATCTCATGTTCAGCAGCACGAGTTGCCCGTGAGTTTTGCTGAGGGTGCTGTTTGTAAGCTGTTTGGGCGAAAAGGTGTTTCAGCCGATGCCTTTGAATGTGGCCGATCCGGGTGGGCGCATGGGTTGAAACCAAGACTGCACCGGATGATCCTCACTGCCAGGGGGTGTACTGCTGCGCGTTGTGCAGGGACGAGAGAAGCACACCGCGGCTGATGCTGATGATTTCTCTAGCTTGCTTCACGAGCTTACATGGCCGTGAGGGTTCCGTGTGCTGTTCAGTATCATGCACAGGTCGGCAGCTGCGTGCCGTAAAGTGCATGCTGCTCGGTGTGTCCGGGAGTGAAATGTGCCCCCGCTGATGCCGATGATGCTCGCTACTTTGGGTTCTGCCTGACACTTCGCGCTGCGGCTGATGCTGGAGGTGGCGTCTGGCCTGACTGAGGTTTCGAATGTGATCAGCAAACAATGCTCGCTGTGGAAAGGTGACCTAAAGCGACTACTTTTCGTTGCACGTCCGACGAACAACACCATTTGCAAATAAATCCATATTTTGGGAATCTCTGAACCATCTCCTTCTTATGCTTCAGAGGTTTCTACAAACCCCATTCCTGCAGCTTGAAGTGCTGACAACTTCTCCAACACCGAACCTTTCCCAAGGCTGCGATCGAGAACCACTGAGCTCTGACTGAGCTCGGCTTCATGGCTACAGGGCTACTTGGGCCCTTTTCCACTAGCTATCCGTGCGGTACGGAACCCAAGAGGCCTGCTTCCTGTAATACTTTGACCAGGATCGTATCACTACGAAACAAGATAACCCGAAAACATGCATGGCAACCCGCGTTTCAGGTAGCAGGTTACCGTCCCTTTCTGCCCATGGGATACTTGTTGGGCTTCGAGGGGAGCGAGCTAGATCCCCAAACCCCACGACCCGATGGCACCCGGACTCCCGAATCCCGAACTCGCGCGAGAGAAGTGGCAAAAGGTGCATCGAAGGCATGTACAATGTGCCGCCATGTACCCGATAACTCGATCTGGGGTTGTCGCATCTTCGCAGGCTACCAGATATAGTGTAGTGTTAAGATCTAACTGGAGCCCTGAAAGGGGCCACAGAGGCAGCTAGAGCCTAAAACTTAGAGACTGGGGATGAAATCGTTTTTGGGATTCTGCTTAACCTAGGTTAGTCTTTGGTTCCCCATGACAGACGATAAGTAGGTTCAGTAGAGGCAAGGGCAAGGGTTGAAGACTTCAACAGAATCGCTTCTGAGAGTCAGGATTTCCATACCCCTAAACCCCACAGCCCTAAACCCCTAAACCCCCAAACCCTAAACCCCCAAGACCCTAAACCCCCAAACCCTAAACCCCCAAACCCTGCTATCCTAGAGGGCAGAGTGCAAGAGGACTAGAAGCCTTCGGGTCTGAGCTTCTCCTGCGGGTGTGCCGTATGGATCGGGGTATAGGGTTTAGGATTTATATGGGAGTTTCCGAAGATAGGGCACCCTAATGTAGTACCCCTAAATAATAGGATCCTTATTAAAAGGTCCCCAAAAAAGGTACCCCTAATTTTCGGAAACTCCCCATATAGGTTTTAGGGTTTAGAGGGTTTTCGTGGGGTTTGAATGTACGCCGATGCGAGTTATGCGAGAAGTGCAGTGATGTGTCTGACTTCGATTGTCCTTAACGTAAGCCCCAGAAAGGTTTCGGGCTCCCGCACCAAGGCTGATAAGCTTTACAGTAAAAGCCAGAAAGTTGGAATATGGTTATCCTAAACCCTTTGTGGTAAATTATAAGGTATCCTACCCTGAAACCATATTCCAACTTTCTGGCTTCTACTATAGTTGGATTTGCGGAAACATGATTGCGTCGTAGATCATGAAGCCGGGAAACCTAGCACTCCTGAGTCAGCGACGATACCTTCCAGTCAACACGTTGAGGGACTGTCTAAATCCTTGTCCGAAAAAACCTATAGTGCATGTATAGGACACTAGCAAAAGATTAAGATACACAGTGAAAGGATCTTGTAAAATCCATACAAAAGCATGACAATACCCTTCTCTGAGCAGGCCCCGAGCCTGACCCTTTGGAATCTCTCCTTTTCGCGACCTCCGTTGGCGTACCGTGTGGAGCCCGAGCTGGGCTAGGAGTGCGGTTTGGATTCGGGAGTCGGGCTCGGATTTAGCATGGTTTCCGGACTAGAGAAAAGGCCCAGGAGTTCTTCATCGGGGAGTCCGCTTAATGCGCTTGAGGCCTATTTGGAGCCTTTGAGATATGGCCTCCACACTCATAGGCTTTAAACCCAGAGTTCTAGAAACCTACGCGCTTGAACTTCCGCAGCGCTCTTTCAATTGATTAACCTAGTAGCAGCACTTTTGGAGATAAATTTACCCACTATAAAACCGAAAGTGTAAACTTTTTGGGGCTTAGGAACTCAGCAACTAACAATTCAGCTGGATATGGATCCCATCAAAATCATCATGGCCAGGTGGGTTGGTGTAGTGGCTTCGCTGTAACTATAGACTGTAGAGTGACTGCAAGGGAATATTACCACAACTATACAATTTTTCAGACCCTACATTATTGGCGAAATGAAATTTAGAATTTGGAGCCGGGTTCCATGCGCAAGGTCCCTAAGTTCTGAGCCCTAAACGGCTTATAGAAACAGAATGTCCGCGAATCCTAACCCCTTAGCCGTACCCCAACATCTGAATCTCAGAGTGGCAAACGCTAAGCCCGAAAAATGTCCCTCATCAGACTCAGCAGCCTTGGTTTTGAGGCCTTGATGACTACCTATACCATTTTGGTGGTTCCTTACTTTCATTATGGTATAGTATACCCCAAAGCCCTACGCTAATCAAGGCCCCTATATAAGAGCCTAGCTCTGTGTACCCTCGACGTCGACCCTGGCTCCTTAGATGCACAGTTTTGAGACAAAGATACCAAAAGCCCTTTGCCGTGGATAAGGAAAAGGCACCAAGACCCTAACAAGAAGCATTAAGACTACGCCCCAAAGCCTTAAAATCCCAGAATGATAACAATCTCAAGAGCCCTAAAACCCCAAGTCAAGTCCCTGAAGCCTCCGTAATCCTAAGCCTTAACCTAGAAGGTCCGGAGTTAGCAGCTCCGTCCGTGCCATCCGACAGGCCTTCGGGAAACGTGAGAGCGTACTATAAGGGGCCTAAATTATGACCAACGCTTTTTGGGGATTCCTTACTACATTTATGGTATAATGGGCCGCAAAACCCTATTCTAGTAATTAAGGCCCCTATATTCGCCTTGTGAACCCTGAGCTAGGTTTGAGTCTATTAACTGCGGCTTGAGGGTTGTGTGGTTCTGGGTTTAGGGTTGTAGCTGTTTAGGGCGTCAAGGTTTTTGGGTTTAGGAGTTGCGGCTTCAGGGTGAAGGGTTGCGGGATCAGGTATCAGGGTCTTGGATTGGATCGCCTATGGGGGTAGTTAGGGCTTGAAGATTAAAGCTGTCGGCGGTTTAGGATGGTGGTTTTAGGCTTGCGAAATGCGCTCAGATGCTCTGCTCCTCAGCTAAACGGTTTTCCCCATGAGAACTATCTTGAGTTATGTATTAAGCTCTAAACTCGTGATACTTAGAATAGGGTTGTGAATCTGTTATGCTTTGCTCATGACGAAGAGCCTAAGGAATACTAATTGCAAGCAAGCCATGCCACGATGCATCTCCGAACCCTAAAGCCTACTTCATATCCTAAAGCCTGCAATCCCAGATCCTAGACTCCTACACCCCGAAAGCACGAGCCCGAAGCTTCAAAAGCCCGAATCCTGGACCCGAAGCCCTCTAGGATCTAGATGTTTTGAATCCTCGGAACCCAGGGTGGAACCCTGATAGGAACCCTTGAAGAAATCTTGCAGGGGAGCCCTTGACGAAAACCCTTAGATCAACCCTTAGAGGAACCTTCGAAAAGGAACCACTAAAGGAGCACTTGAAGGAACCTTTGAAAGGAACCCTTAAACTCCAAAGGGGACCAATTAAAAGAGCCCATAAAAGAAAAGCAAAAGCGAAAATTAATAGAAACCTATAGAAGTATTTGGAGGATCATGGGACTTAGTAAGTAGGGCTATAAGTACCCTAATTATAACCCTAGTTACTAAGTCCCCTGATCCTCTAAGTAACCCTCTAGGGAGGGGTTCCTGAAAGGAACCCTCAACCCTGCTATGAGGCTCGGGCCTCGCGGCTCGCCGCGGCACAGCGGAAGTTTCCTGCGGCACATCTTCTGCTCTTGTGTCCGGAAGCCCGTTGAGGGTTTGGGGGTTTAGGGGAGTTTAGGGTTTAGGCTTCGCGGCTTGGAGTTTAGCCATATGCGGGTGTTAGGGATTCGGGGTTTAGTGTTTGGGGCGTAGGGCTTAGGGTTTAGAGGCTTTTGGGCTACAGGTGAGGCTTCGGTGCTAAGGCTCAAGACTAAGCGTGAGGGTTCTTTTGGTTCAGTGTTTGGGGTTTAGGGTGTGTCGCTTCAGCATGCTCGCTGCTAGTACAATGTAACTTCGAGCTTAGCGTGTTTCAGAAAGTATTTTGTAGGGTTGCTCATCGGTGCTTTAGAGTAGCTTATCGGTTTTGTGTTAAATGTTTAAACGCTTTGAACATGTAAAGGGTTGTTTTAATTGTTTCAGTCTGGGGTCGAGGAGCTTTGCACTCTGGGTCTTGGATTCAACGATTTGATGATTCTGACGTGGCGCTTTTCAGCAGATCCGACCCTAAACCCTAAACCATAAACCCAAACCTAAAGCTCAAGCAAACGCGGCTTGTAGAGGAGGCGTAACCAGCGATGATTCCGCTTTCCTTGGCTCCGGCGTAGCAGAAGTGAGATTTAAGGCAGAGGCTTGCGAAATCATGCGATTCAGGGGCAGGTGTCTGCAAGACAAGGATGGATTCAACCACCCATTCACCCCAACATCCCACCCCAACAGTTTCTTGTTCAAGGTTACGCCTGCGTTTTAGGACAGATGACCCGCCCGCGTCTACGGTTTAGGGTTTCGAAATTTAGATTCGAAATCCCTTTTTCGGTTAGGTTCAGGATGTAAGGCATCTTAGCATCGCGGCCAAGATAGTAGGACTCAGTAGAACGCTTATTGGTATAAGGACCCTAGTACCCCCATGCCCGACCCAAAACCTAAATCGCAAACCTCAACCCTGCGCCCGAAATCCTCAACTCCACACCCTGTCCTAAACCCTGAGCCCTAAACCCTAAGTCCCAGCTCTCCTGGCCTGATGGCCTTGACGTGTGCCCATTACCTGGCAGGCATCAAAAAGGAGCTAAAAAAATAAGCCCTAGACCCTAAGCCCTGGAATTCCCAGGCGTCTTCGGCACCTGCTCTCTGTCGATCTTTCTCCTGCTGGGAGCCGGGCTTGCTGGTTTCGAGGCGCTGTGTGGAGGAGCTGCGGATTCAGAGAGATTTTCACGGTTTTCGGTTTAGGGTTTAAGGTTATTCGGTTGGTTTATGGGTTCGGGGTTTTGTGATTCTGGGAGTTCGGGTTGAGAGGTTTCGATTGGGTTGTCTTGGCTTGTTTCAGTAGGGTTTGTTAGGCTTCTGCAGGATGTAATCTAGGGGGCTTTAGAGTTTCGGGGCTTCTGATACGGTGGTGCTTAAAGTTCGTGGACGACACCCATGGCGCTCTGAAAGCATCGAAAGCACGGCGGCGCCGACTTCGGGCTGAAAGAGTCGGCGCAGAGGATGGGAAGTTTCCGAAAATAGGGGACCCTAGTATAGTCTAGAAGGGGCCCCCACCCTGTAATAGTGGTATAATAGGAATAGAATCGGCCCCGAATATAATCCTTATAGTCACTATTACAGGGTGGGGGCAGCTTCTAAAGTATAGTACCCTGAATAGTAGGATCCTGAGTATTAGGACCCCAAAAAGAAAGTCTTCGTCCCTGACGGTTGTCATGTTTCCTCGGAACGGGCCGTCATGGCTGCGATGCCGTGACTCAGATGCATCATTACTGGGGCCAGTTTACGGTTTAGGGTTTAGGTGGAGAACTGGAGCAAGGTGGCGCGAGGGCCACAGGGGCTCTGCACAGCAAGTATGCGTTGCGCACGACGCAGAACTTTGAGATCGCCGTCGTTTCTTACGACCCGACAAGGGATGCCAGGCTTACCGCTCGAGCTCGGTCGCGATGGAGTGGGCTGATGTACCAGTCACGATATGAGAGAAGTCCGCCGGACCCCAAACCCTGAACCTCAAACCTTGAACCAACCGAACACTGTAAGGTACCCTAAAGCCTCTGGCCCTTCATCCAGGATTACTCCAAGAGGCTCTCGTTACAACAACATGCTATAATCTGCACTCAACACCGTGTTCTGATCATTCGGGCCTCTATGCTACACCCTATATACCCGAAGGCCTAAGACCTGAGACCCCAACCCATCAGGCGTTCGAAGCAAGCAAGCCTGGTCATCTGCAGCAACCCGAGCAGTCGCGTCTTCGAGTTCAGGGATTGAGGGTTTGGGTGCTCACGAAGTTTAGGGCTTTAGGGTTTGATCGTTTGGAGTTGTAAAGTTTTGGGGTGCGTTTTGGGTTTGAGGGTCTGGGAGTGGGGGTGGTTTAGACTTCATGTCTTATGCCGCTTCGGATTGATCAAGCTTCACAGCGTAGGGGTTTCGAAGATTCTTTAGGGCTGAGTACTGGGGCTTCATACGATATCACATTCTAACATTTACTACATCTTCGGTTTTATTCTTTGCTTCGCAGGATCCTGCTTTTGGGAGCGGGGGTGGGAGAGGAGTCTGCAGCTCCGGAGCTCAAGGTCACAAGCTTTGGGTCGGGTCTCGGTGCGTACATAAAGCATACAGATTAAGTAAAGTGTAGGATGCTTGGGCATTATAATGGGTACGATAATATAGCTCTCGACAGCATCATAGGGTGCTTCGGGTTCTCTAAAGGTTCCTTCTTAGGGCTTCATCTAGGCTTAGGGTTGCAGATCTCAGGGTTTCGGGCTCGGGGCTTCAGGGTAAGGCTTATGTGCAGCAAAGTTGAAGGCCCGGTTTTTTGCGGGCTTGGGTGTTGTTAGGGTTTGCGGTTTAAGGCCCAGGGTTTAGGTTTAGGAGTTGGGGTCCCGGGGTTTACCACCCGGGGTTTGGAGTGAGTTGGGGGTTGCAGTGCCCATAGGAATCCGAAAGCATCAAAGGAGGCTTGAATGTTCGCCTGACTGAGACCCCTATTTAGCACGACGGAGCGTGAACAAGAACTGAAAACAAAAGAACCAAGTCAAAATTCGAGCTCTTCACGACTCTCAGTCATGTACTGCAGCGCGCCGCCATCCGCGCCGGCGTACACTGCTTGTGTGGCTCCTTTAGCCGTGGTTTGACATGTCAAAAACTTGAGATTGAGGACGACCACTACTTGTGTCGCCTCGTCGTTTTGAGCCTTCAAGTCGCGGCAGCCCTGAACCCAACATCGATTCTGGCCCCGAGCTGGCTTTACTGTTCACGCTCGTGCTTCAAAGGGAGGATTCCTGGGCTTTGCAAGGTATGTAGAGCAGACCCTACCCAGCTCAAGCTGTGAAAAAAGCCAACTTTAAGCCAGATACCAAAGCCGGAACCTTACTAAATCCCTCGACCCTGCATTCCAGAGCCACTTCAGCGAAGGCCAGACCATGGCGAACATCTTTGGTCAACACCGACAGGAACGTTGGAATGATACGTAAGCCCGAAACCCTGTCTGAATTTTCCAAAGCCTGTTCCCCAACCCATGTTAAGCCCCAGAACCCCAACCTCAGTACCCTAGACCTACACATCCACAAACCCTAAACCCAACGACCCGCAATCCCCAAATCAACAGATCCTTTAAACAAAGAAATACCCCTTTTCGGGCTCTTAGTATCTAACCTCTGAAATCCCGAACACCTTTAGCCTAGACCCATAATGCCTCAAGCCCTACAAGTCGAAGCCGCTACCGCTCTGAGAAACTTTTTGGGGGAACCTATGAAGAAACCATTACAGCAACCTCCGTTTAAGAACAGAAGAGCTCAAAGAAGCGAGGCTCGCTATCCTCGCTCCCTTGTTTGGGCTTCTGGTCTCCGCAGCAGCCTCGGCGTGAAGATCCGCTTGAGGCTTGGATGTTTAGAGTGTCGGGTTTTGGTTGGTGTTCTCGGCTTTAGGATTTGTTTAAGGTCTTAGGTGTAGGGCTGAATGTTTAAAGTGTAGGGGTTTGAGGGTTTAGGGTTTCATGTCCTGCATCCCAAAGCCTATAAACCACGAAAGTGAGGAGGGATGCATGCGAACGGTTACTGGTTTCGCGGGCCCTTCGAACTTTCAGCCTACACCGCAAATCCTTAGGCCCTATCCCCCAAGGCCCCAAACCCTGATCCCTACACTATTACTATTACTAGTACTAAGATTATAAGATTATGATTATTCTTCATGAAATCTTCTATTTCTTCTCATCTTCAATCCCTAAGGCCCTCAAGCCGTTTCGCCTACACGCGACAGAAGCAGTTTCAGCACAAGACATTGCGATGATTTCCAGCAGCACCGCCAGTTTGATGACTCGTCCACCCTAGGGAGCCGTCTTAAACCCAAAAACCCCGAATGATTGAACCTTACACCCAAACTTTGAAGCGCCTATGCTCCTCGAACCCAAGCACCTCAAACCCGAATTCCTGTAACCTAAGAGCCCCAGAGCTCAAACATCAAAACTCTGTAAACCCCCGAACCCGGAACCTCCAAAACCCGTAGAAGACCCTCCCTTGAGATCTCATCCCTTTACCTTAAACGCTTGAAACCACTAACCCCTGAAGCTTAAGCCCCTAAACCCTAAACAGCCTAAACCCCGGATCGAGCCCCGCAACTGCGACTGCGACTGGGCCTGATCCATCGCCCTGACATTTGCCGAAACGCCTGCCGCCGACCACGAGTCATGGGGTAGCCGCAAAGCTGGCCCCGTGGATCGTTGACCCCTTGCTACGCCTTTTTGGTGTAGGTCTTCGTGGGCGACTTTTGCTAGCTAACTCATGGCGTGGACAGCACAACCCACAGAGAGATACGGCACTGCAAGTGTCCACACTTGGGATGGAAGCTGGAACTGCTGCGGAATGAAATCTCCTCCAAGCGCAACCATTTTGGGATGCCGCTTTAGGGTTTAAGAGATAAAGGCTTTGGGATATGCACAGGCCGGCGGGCGAAGGTTAAAGATCTTCACTTAACCCTAAACTTCGCGAAACCGTACTAAACCGGTAAACCCCAAACCCTGAAGCCCAAGACCCTAATCGAATCCTACGCCTGGGCCAAGCGAATCGGCATACATCGCCAGCACGTCTATAAGCCCAATGTCGAATTTCACCAACCCGCACGCTTCGCTCTGAGGTTCAAGCTTTGACAGCTGCCGTCCTCCGGGAGCTTTCCTTGCCAGGAGGCAACACAAGCGTATTATTTAGGGTTCGGGTAGTTACGCACTTTAGCACTTGGTCGGATGACATACAACCCTCAAGAATTCTCAGCTTCACCTTACGCGCATTTCTGTGCAGTTTATGGGTAAGGGCTTTGATGCTATGGGGAATTGGGTCTCAGCCTTAACAGAAGCTTGAATAATTCCTGGCAGAATTCGCTCGCGTTCCTCTTTAGAATTCCAATACAATATACCACCAATCCCAAGTGGAAAGGATGGCCTCAGGTTTTCGTTCTGGTGTTTGTGATGTTTGACGGTTCATGGTCTTGGGCATTTAGAGCTTAGGGTTGTAGGGCTTTGGGGTTCAGGGGTTTGGGGGATAGAGTCTCGCACGGCTTTTGGGGAGGAGGCCGCTGTAGTGGTGAAGCTGTTCAGAATGAACAGGGCTGTGTGGTGAAAGGCTAAGCGCAAAGCCTCCAAGATCCCTTGGCCCCCCTGTGGCAGCTGCATAAACTTTTTAGAATGCCTACCATCAACGTAGCAATAAGCTACGTTGTATTGGCAATGGCCCTTGCTTTGAAAGACAGGACCTCCGATAAAATCGGCAGGCAAACCCAGACTTCGTTCAAGTCGGGCCCTGAATCCCGAACAACGATGTTCCAAGCCCTCGAGAAAGCCATGCAACACAGGCCCCGAAGATAAGCCCTGTAGAGGCCACCCTAGTAGTAGAGTAGGTTTAATAACCTTTTTTGGGTAGTATAGTCCCCCTTTAGTTCCCCATGATCCCCGACAAGTGGCCACTGCTCTGCCAGAAATCCTTCTGGGAGCTCCATCCCTGGTAGGTACAAGAGGTGTAGGGAACAAAAGCCCTTACGATATATTTCATGTGGGTGGTTGTCAAAATTAGGGTCCCTTTTTGGGTCCCTATAAAAATACGGCACCGATTGTTTAGGGTACCCAAAAAGGGACCCGAATTTTGACAACCACCCATGTAAGTATGCAGGGGCCGTAGGCAGCCCTGCCAAACCCTTGTCAAGTCGCGTTACAACACCTATAGAAACACCACTCGCCGCGAGAACTCTTTGTAAACTTGTCAAAAACCTTTGCACAGCTCGGTTCACATCCCGAATCAGAAGTACCGTTCTTCCTCTTCAAACTTCTGCCCGCCCCAGGGAGCAAGTTCTTTCGAGCCCAAGACGTCGTGGAGGAAAGCCTTGCCGGTGGGGAGCCACCAGAGGTTAGGGCTCAAGGTCTTATTACGGTAGGGTTCCTTTAAAGGGTTCCACAAGGAATCTCTAACAAGGCTCTGTACTACAGGGGCCTTAACAACCAGAATAGGTTTTTGGTGCCCGTTCTACTATAACTATAATAAGGGATGCCCCAAAATACTACAGGTAATTATTAAGGCCCCTATATTAGGGTCTTTTAAGAGTTACCCAGAATGCCCTATAAGCTCGGTAGCAGAGCTGTATCAAGCGGTTCAGAAATTCAAAGTTGCGTTTTCGCCAGTGTTGTTGACTGGGATCCTGGGTTCTTGAATGAATGATGGTTTGCAGAAGTACAGAAATGGTTCTTTAACGGCTCTTCTTAAGCAGTCTATCAGGGTTTAGGATTCTTTCCCGCTTTTGGAGCTTCGGGTTTTTTTGTGGGTGAATGAAGGGAATCATCCCGTTTAGGGATTTGCGGTTTTGAGTGGTTTGGGTGTTTAGTATGGGTTTTCAGCCCCAACACCTCCACATCCGAAACTGTTTCAGTTTAGGGCTGCAGAGCAGAAGTAGCCATTATGGCTCAAGTCCAAGCTTCTTGGCTTCTGGGCACCCAGTGCTGGCCTGGTGGTTTGTCGCGCTGCGATGTCCGTCACTGAGCGTCAAATGATGTCACTGGCGGCGACGTTTTTTTCTTGACGTCTTCAGCCGATGGAAAGGAGGAGCTCCCAGAGTCGTTGCGACAAGACCTCGGTCAAACAATGCCTGACGCAGGGACCCTGTGTAACCTTTGTTTTGATCATGTGGATGTGGCGTGGGGTGGATTCGTTGCAACTTGCACGTCCGATGCAACTGAGCTCAGAACGGAGCGTCTGTGTGATTCACGCTTCATTGTCACATGTGCTATCTTCGGCAGCATGTCGCCTAAGGCGGCAAGATACAGTTCATTCTGCAGTGGTTATCTGCGTTCCAAAACTCGCACGTCCTCGCCGGCAGTTCTTCCTGCACGCATCAACGAACCAGAAGGCCCGGTCCGTAGTCGTGGAGTTCGCAGTGGTCATGCATTGGCGATGGAGTCGGATCTTCGCGGCGGACGCAGATGCCACGAGCTTCTGTTCGTGGCCGTCAGCTGTGTGGGTCTTCTACCACGACTGGCTGTTCCCGCACATGTCCCGGCGAACGCCATCGCAGTGGTACGAAACACTAGCTCAGGTTGCGGCAGGGAGCCAGACGGCCAAGGATAAACGATGCCGACGACGCGGTCTTCGATCCGGATGCGCGCTGCTCCGGACTGGATCGCGGGGTGCTTGATCGCACGATTATACGTCCCCATGCTATGTGCAGATCGAGGTGTGGTAGGCCAAACAAGACATTTGAAATGGTTGGGCTTCCTGCCCCGCCCCTCTCTTCCTCATGTTCTCGACAGGAAGTCGCCCACGGGCTAAAATGCATCCGCTCATTGAGCATCTGATCTCGGCCTTCGGCCAACCCACACATGAGCAAGACATCCGGTGGCGTCCAAGGAACGACTGCCACTCGGACGCCATATACCTTGCCCGTGTAGCCATGCAAGCGATAAACCCGGAACCACAAGCCTAGCAGCAACATCCCAGGATTTGGGATTCATCCTTCAACGACCAATGCGTCGTGTGCGAGATGGGCGAGATGAAAGCCCAACGAAAAAGCAGAAGGACATCTCAGCTTCTTGGCGGCATCAGCCCTAAGCCTTAAACCCTAGCCCAAAACCAAAAGCCCGAACTCCTCAAAAATCAGACGAAGGAGCCGGACCGATTCGTCAAGAACGTACCAGTCGCACCGGACCACCATGCCTTTTGCACGTGGGGGACCAAGTCGTTTACGGATCCGGGGCCAGCCGAAATGGACGACATGAAGGGCTACGTTGCTGAGTGCCCGGTCTCCAATAAGATGCCCTTTGAACCGGAGCCGATTGATGAAAGAGAACCGGCGGAATTCTTCGATGATGACCTGGAGCCGCCATATGCGGAGATGCGACCAGTGCGGCCATCAACTTATGACACGGAATTTCGGCCGTGTGGAGTATGCCCGAAGTGTCTAAGAAATGAGGGCAAAAGGAGAAGCTTGAATGCAACTAGTAACGAGACATCCTGAAGCAGAAATGCAAAGCCCCACATGCCAAAACAATAACAAAAGCCAAGGACCACGGAGATCGACCACGTGCCTCTTCCCTGTACGGCGCCAGCCACTTGAGAACGACCGGTGATGACTCCAAGTGGCAGGTGCTGTAAAAGAAGACTGCTGAGCACACTGGCGCAGTATGCATCTGTAGATACTGTCGTTGCTCTAATCATTAACACGCTCTGTGTACCCATGTGGTGCTACTTGCAGGACACAGACTGGCTGCTGGCATTTTGTCGGCTGCCTTCGTTCCTACCCGTCTTGATGTTCCCGCAAAGTTGGTTCCCCGTTGGGAGTTGAAGTTTGCAAAACATGTTCGGAGCCACAACCTGAACTATGCCAAGTTGATTTTTGCCGGTTTCATGGCCTTCCTCCAACAGGATGGTTGTCGACGTCGACCGATTGTCACCTAGACCGCGACCAGGCATCCTCTTTCTTGGACATGGATACGGGGCGCCGGCGGAAAGCCTGGCCATGACTTTGCTCCGGTCCGTCCGAAATCTGCTATGGCCGCAACTCATCACCTCCGCCCTTTTCTTGGCATGGGTCCGCTCGTTTCGGAATGCTTCAAAGCATGGCTACTCCCCAAGCAGTGGCACATGTGCTGCACCAATTTGCTACATGTTGGTGAATGGCTCGCGTCCTGTCGGGACTCCTCGTCCGACCTTGAGAGAGTTGTTCGCGACAGACGCAAAAACTGAAGGAGAAGTCATCTTTTGAGTTTGCGGATCGGTGATGGATGGCCCTTCGACGTTTTCGTGCAGATGGTTGATTGAAAGGTTGACGAGACAAAGCGCGCCATGGGCATTGTTTTGTTTGGGGAAGTGGGAAGCCCTTCAGGGTGATAGCCGCATTGGAACTTTCGCAACACTGACTAGGTGCGAGAAGGGAAGGCTTTCGGTCTCGGCCTTCCTGATGGAGCTTTCAGCTGCGTTGACGAAAGAGGGCTTGGATGTGAGACTGGACTGGCTACCACACCTCAGGGATGTTGAAGCAGACAGCCTTACCAACAAGTCTTCGGAAACTGCTCCCCCCGGCTTCGCCCACGTGGTGCAGGAAATGCTGGATTTGGGCATGGAGCTCTTCTCAGATGCCGGCAGAGGATACAAAGATAAGGTGCTGGGGAAGAAGTCCACGTCAATCGACACCTTGCGTGGCGGAGACCCGGTGTCCAAGTGAAGCGCTTTGAGAGGTTGGGAGTCCAAAATGCCCCATGCTGGGCTGCACATGGCATATTGTACACATGGTTGTTTCGTACTTGTTGTTGCCATTGCTGGTGCTTGTGTGACTGGGCATATTCCATGCCCATGCCACGGCTTTGCCCCCACACCGGTCCGGGCGGAATCAAATCCCTAAACTTTAAAAATGAACCTTCAACCCAAGCCTTACAGAAGGTCTGTGGAACTTCGGGTCACCACTCGGAGGTTCAATTTGCGGCTTCAGCTGGAATCGGTAACTTATCGCCTCAATTTCGTGAAAACTGTACCCGTCGCACCTTGGTTACACAACTGGTGATCCCATTCAGCAACCCCTAGACTACGGAACCGAGCCTTCCCTGGCGTACTGGTAGCCTACTACATCTGCAGCGATGTATCTCGACGGCCTTCGGTCGACCTTTAAGCTATGTCCTCCTGGATGCAACGGAGACTACAGGTTCACAGTGTGATAGATCGTTGGGTCCCAGGTTTTTGCTGCTCACGTTCGGCTTTTCAACCCCTTGTAAACCGAGATACTTTAAAGTCCACGATATTGGCTCAAAATGCAAGCCAAGGATGGTGTTTTGCATGGTGTTTCGTACATTTTCTCGAGCACGAAAGGGGTTGCACCCAGGTCCTGAACCTGAAGCTGATCAAATCTTCTAAGGTTGCCCCCTCAACCCGATAAATGCTGAACTTACAAGGGGGCCCGTTGAACTACTGGTCCCTCCAGGCCTGCTCACTGATCTCCGCCAGCGGAGATCGAACCTGATCGGCTAAGATCAAGACTGTCGGAATTCCGCCTCCCCCGAAGCCCAAATGCCCCTTCCCCTAAGGCCCAAACCCCGGATCTCACCCGTAATCCCTAAGCACGGAACCCTAAACTTAAACTTTGAACATTGGGTTTACATATCCAAGCTTGGTTTTTCTGGACACGACACGGGGTAATTATTGTGTTTCAGAGCTCGAAATCGTGGCAAAGACTTCTAGGTTAAGCGCTTCATGGCCCTTAGTGTCTGGCATCAGTGCATGAGATTGGAATCTTCAAAACAGAAAAAGTGGAAAGCGTAGGGGTGTCTGGCAGAGACAGTTTTCATGTCTGCTGCACGGTATTCATGGGAATCTGCGAAGTTGAAAAAAGGCACGAGGTCCGAGCGGAGTCTTGACACATAGAGGTTGAGATTGTCAAAATTGTCAAACACTAAACTTGAAAGCTTGAAACCTAAACCTTAAACCCAAATCCTCTTCCCCCGAACTTTGAAGCCTTAAACTGTAGTGGTATTGGCGCAAACGTTGGCATGCCACAGTTACCCGACTCTCGAGTAAGCATCAACACGAAACCACTACGGTTCCATTGGTTTCAATTCTCAGATTTTCGAAGCCCCAAGTTTACAAAACCAGGAAGAAATGTATATCATATACCCTACAGTGGGACATTGCGATAATCATGCGAGTTCGGGACCCACAGTTTTCAACGGCGAAACTGTGGCATGCGAAAGATGCGCTAGGTCTGAAGGTAAACAACGTTGCTTGTTTCAGCTCTGTTGATCCTTCAACTGGGTTTTTAACTGAGGCCTCGCCGTTCAGCGAATTAGCCTTGAACTTTGATCTGTGTCTAGCATATTCGGTCGTCTTCATAATTTGAACAAAGGCTTCGGGATGAATATATTGGTGGGACAGAACGGGGACTATACAGGGATGTTGCCTCGTCTAGCTGATATAATGTCGGGTTCGTATGGGGTGTTTAGCTTAGATAAGGGATCTAGGGCTGACATTAGCAACAGAAGCCATACCTTAACCTACCAAAACCTGTTTTTTCGGTAAACTCCGTAGTAGGGCATGGTAGCTTAAGGTACTTCCTCACATCACAGAGTTGTCTTTGATGAAGCCGAAGATCCCGAGTCGCCAAAGTAGTTCACTTACCGTAGAGTTTGAGGCATCCACTGTCACCCCTACCAACACAGCTATTACATAGTATAGTGCAGTCTGGTATAACAAAATAAACTGTAGTACAATATAAATATATATGTATATATCACCGTTTAGGATGAAATAAGAGACGCTAATATAGCATAGCAACATGTAATGCAACGTGGCATATACTATGATACGGTAATTTTTTTGCATCATATTTCAGTACGATATGATACGGCATATATCGTCGAATTTGATACATCAGTCCTTCAGACAGTATAAAGTATGTTTTTCTATGATATGAAAGGATGTAGTTAATGAGCTATAACATATTATCATATCGTAAACCACACTGTGACGTAAAATGACATATTCTAACCGAATCTAACATGATGTAATCAAATGTAAGACAATATATGCAATGTAATCAATGTACTGCAATGTAAAATGTTAGTAAGATAAATGTTAAGTACAGCATAATATATTACACAAAAATGTACTGTGACATGCCTCTTATGTATTATAGTATCATACAACATGAGATACTAGAAAACATGTGATACAACTAAACATACAGTTTGCAATATGCAGCATATAATGTAAAAACATCGGAAAAACAATATACTGTGTCGTTTTGCAATGAGACCGCATGATCCGTTATATTCCGAACCTTAAGCCCTCAGCCTTTAACTCCAATAACCCCTTAACCCCACAAGCCGAACCCTGATCCTCTAAGCCCTAAGCCGTGATCCCCTAAAGCCGAAACCCTGAGCTCAAAGACGCTTCTTGGCTTCAATGCTCGAGTCACAGCTTTGCTGGTGTTGAGCCTGCCTCGTTGGGGTTTCAGGGTGTGGAGGCTTAGGGTTGGGACTTATGTTTTTTTTGCGTTAAGAATTCAGGCCCCAAGCCTGACGAGCCATGTCTAGTTCTTTGGAGACCTCATGCTCGCGATAGACACAGGTTTCGAGACGGTTTGCGTCCCGTGACACCAGTACATCAGATGGCCTGTAAAGTTTAGGCATACTCCCAGACTCTTAGCTGAGTTGGCCGTGCGTCTAAAGTCGTCAGACCTGAACCATGAAGTTACAAACCGTAGTCAATGGTCATAGTCATGGTAACGATGGTTAAGCACTACTACGCTGAAGACCATGAAGGGATAGCCGTTAATTAGCAACAAACAAAAAGCAAAGCCAGAACCGAAAAAACAGTTGCAATCAAGTGCATAAAAAGTGCTGCCAATTGCCACGACGAGCTGCCAAAGTGGCGCATGGCGTGGAGTGCAAGCAGCTCCGTAAATGACTCGCCGAGACTGGCGAGTTCCACGAACTCGCCCCCAAGGCGGGCGAAGTTGGATGGGGTTTTCGGGTTTTGCTGCGGGGGTTAGAGGGTTTAGGGGGACAGGCTCCAGGTTTTAGAGAGGTTTCAGATGTAGTAAGGCCGTGCCGGTCAGGGTTTCGGGGGCAGGGGAATTACGGCTGTAAATTCTTGGGTTTAGGGATGTGGGAAACGAAGAAAGCGAGGATGATGCCATGGCCTCTATAAGCGTCCTGAGCTAAGAACCACTTCCTGTTAAGCTTGTGGGCAAGACCAAGTCCATATTGACTTCACTTCACTTCGCTGCTCAAACTTCGATATCCTGTGCAATACAGTCGGTCTCAAAGTCGTCGTCGTCCCTAAACCCTAAACCCTAAACCCTTCATCCCAAGCCGTCAGGCAGCCCCGGAACCGCGGCCGCTCAGCTAAAGCCCAACGCGTGAATCCTACAGCCTCAGCCTGAAACCTATGCAAGCCAAAAGTCCCAAAAATGGGGGGGGGTGGGGGGGGGGGTTCCTTATTAGAACCATAGTATACTGGGCCCCATTTTGGCTCAAGCTCGCGGCCGAGAACGAGCCTGGGGTTTGAAAAGCCACTGCCGTTGAGGTTCTGTTTCCAAGAAACATCATCATGGGCGACAGTGTGCTGGCCATCATCTCAGGCGCCAACGAAAGAAAGGCCAGTTCGGCCAGAGCAGAAGAGGCTCTCTCGACAGAGCTCAGAACGTTGATCGACCGCGCCAGGCTGGTGGCGTCGTTTGAGTCGATAATGGAGGCCACGCATGAGGATGTGGCCTCGCTTCGTCAGGAGGGAGGGGAATCACTTGCTGATTCAGTGCCCAGCCTGCCGGGCACCTCGACCCTCATGCCAACACTCGTGCTCGTCCCGCTGGATGAACTGAGACAGGAGTTGATCGGCAACGGCCTCTACGAGATCGTCAGCACCTTCATGAAGGCAAGGGAGTCCATCGCGGCCGGCGGCACCGTTGACGAGGCGCTCATGGGAATGAAGATCGCCAGCAAGGCTGACCTATCCGCTGTTTACGGTCGCGCATTCCTGGACGGGTCGGAAACTGCGCTCTACTTCACGCCCGAAGAGCTCGAGGCTGCTAGAAGGGCAAGGGCCGCTGCAGCCGGCGCCGGGGCCGCTGCCGGCGCCGCTCGCCCAGCGGACGACGTGATGGTTCTCTCATCACTAAGAGAAGGCCAGAGGCGAGTGGCTCTGCCTTTCATCGACTTCTCGGGCGAGACAGCAGCCTCGGCAAAGGTCGCGGTCGACCTGCCCGTACTCATCGCTTCCTTCTTTCTCGAAGGGGGCGCCCAGGGTGATGGTGAAGACGCGACTCTCCTGGGCCGGTACTTCACTGCTCAAATGGCGGCCACTTGGAGAACTTCGGACCCCGTGCGGAGGTCTTTCAGGGCCACTGGGGCAGGTCAAGTGGCTGTCAGTCGCCTTGAGAAGAAGCAAACGGGGGCAGAAATTCGAGAGGCTGTGGTGCAGATCAAGATCAAGGATGGGACCTTGGGCAGGAAGCTCCAGTCCCTAATGTCCCAAGCACTCACCCACGGGCTGAATGCCGATGAGTTTGGCACGTTCGTCTCGATGACCGACGAGGAATGGGACACCATAGGCATAGCCCCCGCCATTTCTATTGCCGGGAGCGCAGTCATCGTCCACGCAGGCGAAGCTGAGCAGTTGTTCGAGGCACTCCTAGCCCTCCTCCCCGACGCGAGGTCACAGAGTGAGGCGAAACGAACGGTCATCCGGGCAATAGCAGGCGTCGACGTCTCCGCTGCAGGGGCGCAGGCACAGGAGCCGGGCGGAGGTGCCGCGCCAGCAGACACAGCGAGTGTTGCTGCCACTGCTGTAAAGGCGGCCGTTGCGAAAGCGCCTGGGGCCCTGAAGCACATCTACTCAATGCTCCCCACAAAGCCACGGCTGATCATATTCGCGGGCTCGAGCGGCGACGCAAGCATTACCGACTACGAGCAAATCAACGAGAAGTTGAAAAGTTCGGGCAGCTTGGCGGACGTCGTCATCAACGCCCTCGAGCCTCGGTCCGCGACGGCCTCCGCTGCACTGGCAACCATCATGGCCTCTGTACTCGTGCAGGGTGCTGACAGCGGCGTTGGCTCGTCGGGCAAGTCGACAATCGTGCCCAGCGCCCACTTCTCCAAGTTCTTGGCGTCTGCAGTCGCAATCAGGGACCCTGACGTGGCGACCTCCGTTGAGCTGGACATCGTCGATGCCATTGACCTCGCCATTGCTAGAGAGGCAGCCGGTATTGACCCCATGTCTGGGGCGGGTGACCGCTGCTTCCTTGCTGCCGCCTCGCTGGCAGGGGCGCTTTTCAGCAAGCAGGGCCTCGCCGCATTGATTGTCGCCGGGGCAGGGGGGAAGAAAAAACGCAAGGACGCCGTGTCCGACGTAAAAATCATCCTCGACAGTGCAAAGAAAGCGGACACCGAGAGGCACGCTCGCTCCGAAGGTGGCGGTGGTGCCGCGGCCGGCGCAGCCACCCGCGTGCAATCGCGATACTCGGAGTCCACGGCGTCGGCATCGCCCGGGGTGCGGCCGAAGATGCCCGCGACGTCAAGGTCTGGTCGCCCGCGCCCGGTGCCACGAAGGCCATCGATTGATGAAGCAGACGAGGGCGAGGGCGGCCAGGAGGTCATCTTCACGGACACAGCAAGGGCAATCAGAGACCCATATGCCGACACTGAGGCATACATCACTGCGGCCGTTCAGCACCTCGACGCCCCACTCTTGCAGCTCTCGCGCGATGCCTTCAAGGCCAGCGGGGAGGAACGCATAGCCTCGGTGGGGAAATACTACAGGGTGCGGTCACTGCTACTCGCACTCGTCACCGTGGCCCACTCGGAGGAGGTCAACCTCGAGACCCTCGATCGGTACGTCAAAGCCGGGAGCCCTCATCACTGCGAAGAAGGTGGAGGACAAATTCACCCGCAACGCCATCCTGTCAGAGGCGTGCTCGGGGATGGTCGACATGGACGCATCGTCCGCTGCCTTTGCTGCGTCCGCGGAAGGCCTGGCCTGGGCTCAGAGGGTGGCCGAGATCGACGCCGCGATCGCCACTGCTGATCAATCGCAGGTCGCAGCCATGGCGGAGGCCCAGGCGGATATCGCAAGGAACGATGCCACCATAAGGGAGGAGCTGTCGAGGGTGATTGCCCAAGCTCGCGAGCGGGTAGGCCGGTGAGGAGTCGGAGCTCAGCATCATTGTGAAACGCGAAGAGCTGCGAGCGGCAGAGGCCATGAGGCAGAGAAGGACGCAGCACGAAGACGTCATCAACGAGCTCAGGGCAAGGGCCAATGCTGGCAGGCGAGCAAGAGAAGAGCTGATGGAGGAGCGTGCGGAGGCGGTGCGCACAAATGTCGCGGTAGGCGTCACGCCCCAGACGATCGCGGGAGCTATCGCCGAAGACGCCGTGGAGTCCGAGGTGTTCACTCTGAACCGCATGGTCAGAGGAGTCGTGGCGGGGCCAAACTCTGCGGCGTTCCTCAAAGTGACCACTGAGTCGACAGAAGCCATGATAGTGGGCTTGGTCCGCTCCCACATCATCACGTCGGGATGGGGCTACACGTCGGCGGAGCTCACGAACGGTGTTGTGGTTATGGCGGCCTGGTCGCTGGACATCTTCAACTCGATCAGCGGCGAAACCCCTCCCGTGATCAAAAACCACTCAGCCATGCTGGGGGTCTACCGAAACGTCGCGGGAACTGAGACCGCGTTCGCACAGCATGCCATTGACGGTGGCATCAAGGCAACGCACAGGGTCGACCCAGGGGGCACTGAAACCGCAAAGGGATGGGGAGGCCCTTTGCAGAGTCGCTACCACGCCGAAGTCATCCCGGCAATGACTGCAATAGGCGCCATGCTCGCCACCTACCACGGCACCAGGGCGCTCACCTTGATGGATGGCCCTCTCTACGTACTTGCAGTCCTAGCTAGGGGGTCAGGGTGCGAGCATACTGCGCGCATACTGGCTAGGATGACCGCGACGAACGGTGCATTTGTGCACGCGAAGGCCGGCGCAATGGTGTTGAAGGGCATGGCCTCCATACTACCGGACTGCCCATTCAAGAGCAAGTCGGAAGCAGCGGTGAAAAGAGCGGAGGCGGCGTATGTCGAGGCTTACGACAACAGGTACTCTCGGTCACCTGTGGGGCACTTCATGTCAGGGACTGGCTCAACGAACGCGGAGCTCAAGCTTGTCGCGGGCGAATCCATGTCTGTCTGCATCGTTGCCCTGAAGTCCCAACGTTCCCCTCTCCTGAGACGATACATCGAAGCGCCCAGCGCCGACACGTTTGTCGAGTCGCATGCGACGTCCATTGTCATTGAGGCTAACCTCGTCCAGGCCTTGTCGATTGGCATTTCGCAGGCCTCGAGGCAGCTCGCAACTCAGGCCGTGCTCAAAGGCCTCAGGGTCTCGGATCAGCTGGTGCAACAGCGCACCATATAGCCAAGACCCCAGTGCCTTAGAATCATTGCCCCATGGGGAAAAGGCACGTCTGCCGGCTACGGGACAGCAAGTTTTTCATGCGGAGCTTCATCAAGTTGGCTGGCTTTCATATATTCAAGTCATGAGACTCGGAATCTCGAGGAGGATTCGGAGTTGGAGATCCTCTTCCAGATGAGCCGCTTCGGAGGAATCCTGCATGGTGTCAGGGAGGGCTTTTCCCCAAGTGACATGAACTTCGTCACCGAAACCATGAGGACTTGCAGAGCGTTCACAGCAGTTGGAGCAGAAGGTGCCATAAAGAGAAAGCACTTCTACCGCAAACTGCACAACTTAATTATGGCAGTGGGGATGGTTGATGTGCTTCCTCGGGAGGTTGGTGGCCCAGGCCACAATCTCCTCCTCGAGGCACTCATGGACGAGCCAGAGGACACCGAACTGCAATGGTGGTGGTTGGTGCTGGAAACGCTGCTTTCGGGGACCAAACAAAATCGTAGCGGTTCCACACGAGCTAGCGGAGTGTCATGCTCTGCTCGCCGGATGCGACTACACGTTGCAGTCAGGTGGAAGCTGCATGGATTTGGGCAGTCGGAAGCTGTCTGCCGCCCGGACTGGCGGCATGAAGGACGCTTGAAGTTGGCGTCTACGAATGGTGGCTACTTGTGATTTGTCCGCCCGTGCATTGTGGCAGTCATATACATTGCCACTTTGCCTACAATCGGCGGCTCTACCGGAGTTGAGATGCGCTGCAGCTCCTTTTGAACTGATTGCGTGTGTTGCCCAGCATGCGCGTCTGTATATACGCAGTCACTGTACATGGCGCGTGCGTTGGAGCGGGCGTGGCTTATTTAAATCAGCCATGTGGGGTTTTTGTCTTGTAGTTTGCCTTCCCCGACCCCTGGAGGAATAGGCTCAGGACTTTGAATGTTTAGTAGCCGGTTTCTGCGGGTTCCGCTGCATTTAGTAGAACCCGTCTTCCTGTCCTTTTGCTGTTTGCGCTTAAGTCTTAGTTGAGACCTGGAAGCCAGTCAATAACTGCTGTCTGTGGTCACTTGCAGTCCGCTTGTTTTCCTGAAAGAAGCTCGACAGAGACAGCTTTTCCGGCGCTGGTTCCATCTCTCTCGAGGCCTTTCAGAGCAGATTTCTGCGCCGTGTGCTGTAAGCACGTGAGCGCATACTGCGTTTGAATTCATTTGTGCAATAGGCGCGTCCGCACTGGACCCATAGCCTCACGAAGAAGAAGAAGGGCCCCAAAACACTAGTCTAACTTTTGAAGCCCCTGGAGCCCTGAATCCCAGAGCCCGAAGCCTCGAACCTCCCCCGAAACCGAAAAAAATACTAGACCTAGAAGTAGAGGAGGTGACCTTGAACCTTTTTGGGGTAGTATAGTCCCTATATAATCCCCATATACCCCAAAAAGTTTAACCCTCAGGTCCCCATGATACCCGACAAGTAGGCAGACCTCTGAGTCCGTCAGGTCTTCTAGCCGCCCGGCCTACAGTCGGAATGACAGTTCCACAGAGTCCCGGCAAGCAATGAAAAGCAGACGAGTGCTTGGGGGTTTAGGGTTTGGGGCGTAGGGTACGCCTGTTCGGTTTGGATCCTATGCGGGTAGCATACAGCATATTACGGGGCTCATCGGGTAAGGATCTTGCTGCTGGTATTGCAGTTGGCATTCACGCTTCGTCAGGCCTGCTCAGCCTGTAATTTTAAGCTTGCCGTTGATGTGACTCTTGATGCCTTTGCTGACAGTGTTGCCCGTTTTTCTTGTGAACATCGGAGGTTGTTTGGAGCTTAGGACAATCCAGGCAAACGTCAATCGCGAAACAATACGTCAAACACTCAAGTCACTGCAGTTTGCCACCCCATCAACCCAAAACCGCATCGCATTTACTCCAAGCCCGAAACGCAATACCCTGGCCCCAAACCGAGCACCCTGCTGACACGCACCACTGCACAGCGTGCTCGTAGAGCTATATCTGCCTTAACTGGTGGATTGATTTGGAGTCCTAAACCTCAAAGCTATCAAAAGCACTGGACGCCAAACCCAACTCTCAAATGCCAAGCCCGTAAAAACTTTGCTCGTGGATGCCAAACTCTAAAGTGACAATCTAGAGGTCGAAACCCCAAATAGTCCATACGACTATACCTGCCCAAAACCCCGTTCTACACCATCGCACTATCAGGATCAAAATTTAAATGTTACAAACTTTACCTGCGATGCGTAGCAAAATGTAGATGTTTTTTGACCTCAACTCCACATTCTTCAGGAAGCACACGGCATTCGTCGTCTCGAGTTAACTCGCACAGGCTTTCGCCCGCATGACCCCGAGACCCTATGAAGATTATGAAGACCCCGATATTGAACCATAAAGCGCCGAAGCCACTTATGGAACTTCAAAATTCTCATAGAGCCCTGATGAAAACCCTTGTACAACTCTTCAAAGCCCTGTAACACCCGTCCAAACCCCAAAAAAAGCCCGTAAGCCACAGGTGAGGGGCCTTCTCCGATGCGATGAGGACGCGGAGATTCAGGGCAGTGATGAAGCCTTAGGGCTTTGTATTTTGGTTTTAGGACTCTGGGTGCAGCTCTCATCTCGCTCCACTTCGACTCGACTGGCGATCGTCACCGGGGTCGGCTTGTGTTGTGCCGAACTCAACTGGCTACTCCGGGGCCCCCACCCTTCGCGCCAGAAACATGCCAGCTGATCTCCTTTCCTCGGGGTCGACTTCGACTTTAAAGTTGTCTGCGCACTGCAAGTTACGGGACATACTGCTGATGGACAAAATCCTGCGTGACCCTAAGGACTCTAAACTATGGGAACTATGGTAAATTCCTTATGATGGGTCATGCAGGATTTTGTCCGTCAAGCGTAGTGAATATGTTCTCACTCTAGGGCAAACGTCCAAGCTCTAAGGCACATGCAAGTCCAACGATGCCACCAGCATGGATGACACTGGAGATCGGAGCTTCCTCTTCAGAAACCCAGACAAGACTCGGAGGAAGTAGAGCACGGATTCGGAGTTTGGTATCAGGCCCCGCGGTCAGCGCAGCTATCACCAGTACCTCTTTCGTATCCCCATGGTAGGGTTTCTGGCATAGGACTCCAGGGTTTTCGCGTGCGGGAATTGGCCGCCACGTATAGGCCCTGGCGCAGGCGTTCGGCACGAGGTTGAGGCCGTTACAAAGGCTTGGGTTAAAGATTGCGAATTCAGGATTTAGGGCTCCCTTCATCATTCTTTAAGGGTTTCTTTAGAGTCCGGGGGGCTGTGGGAGTGCACTTTCTTGAAGTTGTCTGCTTTTGTATTTGTTGCTACCTTGGTTTATGCTGGAATTATGTTGGGATAATCATATATATATATATATAAGTATATATTGCTGCATACAACCCAACAGAAACTCACTCGTGCTCGCATTCATGTTATGGCTAGTTAGTTTGCTGGCCATGTGTCCAGTCTAAGGGTCAAGCGACCAGAGACACGACCCTGGGAAATGGATCGGTCTATAGGAAAAGTACCTGTTGCCGATCTTCCCGACTCGGGCGAACGGAAAGTATAAGACTCTTCCGGCACCCTGCAATATCTAATACCAAGACTATTCTTAGTATTGTGCATTATTTCAAGTTTAGAGTTTCGTACATATCGTTTGCATCATCTTCTTTGCTTCATTAGTTCTATCGGGCTAATATCACATAAGTCTATTACTTTTAAATGTATCATAAGCTACATTTACATTCATACTTATATATATATATATATGTATATGTATGTATTTGTATATGAATACAAACTATATATATGAAGAATAAAGATATACGGTTAAATGTATATACATATGTTTATACATATATGTATATATCCATATACAAGTACGGATATATATGTATATACCCTCATATGTATGTGTGACAATTGTGCATAATAGAGAGCTCGGCATATGTATATAAATACACACACACACACATATATATATATATATATACATATACATCTTTTTTTATATAAAGTGCCTTACATTAATTGATAAATGTTGACTTTTCATTATTCTTACAGAGTTACATACACATATCTGTGTGTGGAGCATGCCTCTAGATGTAAAACTTCTTGATCTATAAATGACATTTTATTTGGTTATATTCCTATTATTATCACTAACCATGCCTTTTGCATTAATACTCTTATCAATACATTTTAAGATAATAACCAAATATTCAATCCAAATATAGACAACAATAGCACTAGATATACGAAACTTTTCAATACACACCAAGCCGATAGTCTATAGATTGCCAGCAACAGTTGCGTTGTAAAGTGGCGCATACATGTATTTATCATAGTTTAATTATAGTCATATTCAGAAGAATAATCGAAATATAAGAAGCATATTGGATTACCAACAACAAATGCGTTGTAAAGTGGCACACACACATGTATTTATCATATTTTAGTTGTAGTCATATTCAGATGACTAATCGAAATATAGAAAGCATATTGATATGTGGACAAGCTAAATATATACATCAGTGAACAATCCTCTAACAAGAACGAAGTATAATTTATGATAGAAGCATAATATGTTTTTTAAGCTTATAAAACTGTTGGCCAATATAATATATAGATATGCACCCATTTAAGAAAGCCTAGGTCTTCCAAATAATTGACTTGATATAGAGACTTATATACAATAAGATAACATATAATCAAGATTATTAAAATAGACAATAACGAACCAGTATCGGAATAACGAACATGAAACTAAAGACAAAACTTCTATTGGTATCCAATTACAATATCTAAAAAATTAGCAAATAATTTTCTTATACAATAACGTTATCATAAACAAATAAATAATTATACAAACAAATCAAATAAGCTAGATTCATTAATTATGCCTTCAGTTTTTACTTACGAAAGAAAACAACGTTTCGCATAGAACAGTACTAGTATTTTATTTTTTATATCAACACAGTTTACACATGCATTTCAATAACAAGTACTCATAC